CACTGAGCTGTTGCCTGGAATACACGGGGTTGCTCTGTTGGGCTGGTTTGGGCTTCCTCCTAGCATGGCAGCTGAATTCCAAGAGCAAATCCCAAGAGAACAAGGTAGAAGTACAAGACACGTTTATAATCTCGCCTTGGAAGCATCATTTCTACTGTATTATTTTGGTTGAAGCAGTCACAAAGTTCTCTCCAGGTTCAAGGGGAGGGGATATCAACTCCACCATTGGATGGAAGGGGTATCAAGATGACATTGCAAGAGCTTCATGTGGGATGGAGGCTACTGTTTTGGCCTCACTAACAAATATGTTTTGTGATCCTCTGCAACACTTGGTATAGTGTTAAACATGGCAACTCAGTGACACTGCTGTGGGGATGAGTGATAAGTGCTGTAAACTGATCTGGGTGAGGACCATTTAAAAATTCAAGAATGAATACATATCTTCATCTTATATAATTATCAAGTCTCTTTTCCCTGGTCTACTCATTCTGTTTCAACATGGAAGATTGACTTATCGTATGAAACTGAACATTTAAAAAAATCTATACACTTATCTCACTGTCTTGGCCTGGTTTTTTCTGTTCTCAAGTGGATTACCCATCTCCTCCTTTGGGTTGTAGCAGATTTTACAGCCAGCAGCTGGCTAATAGCTTGCAGTGATGGGCTGGCTTCGTTAATGGGCTGATGTTTACATGTGGTCATGGAGATGGTCACCCAGCCTGGGCAGTTGCTTGGTAGCTACATCTCATACTGGGGAATTATCTGCAACTGAACCAGAATGTGACTCTCTTTAACTGTATGCATTCTACATGTATTTATCCTCATCCCAGAACCCTATTGTATCAGTGAATGTGAAGGGAAAGGCAAAATGATCTCACCTCCAAATATAAGATGCCAAGGTGTTTCAGCCAAATTGCTAAAGCCTTCCATGTGACTGAGTACAATTTGTGAATATATTTTACTTAAACATGAATATTATTTAATATTTGTTTGAATTTTATTCTTAATGTTCTGTCAAAAAGTTCTTTTTCTCTAATGAAAGCGTGCCAGCTTGTGATTTTATTTCTGTTTTATAAGAGTGAATATTTTAACTTTTCCCACAGTGGAACAAATTTTTTATCTAATAATGAAAATGAATGAGAAAAATACTATTTGACAGTTTAGGTTAAAATGCTTCTATTTAAAACTAGTTTTTTTTTTTTTTTTAATGAACTAGATGTTTAATGGAAGAAGAAACTGTGATTCCATACGTTTTTTGAGTATAAAAAAGTAATACTGTAGGCCTTTAGTTTGTATCCTGACCCTCTGAAATTCCTAAAGCTAAGAATATTTTAGCCAGATCATTTTACAGTTATCCCTAGCACCACTGTGACCATTACCTGCTTTTTCAACATGTGAAGAAAAAGCAGTAGATAGAATTTCACTTCCTTAACTGCTGATTCTAATGGTTATCATTAAGGAAGGGAGGAGATAAGCAGCCCCTATGGCACTAGGATGGATGCTCTGAATAGGCCATGACCCTAGGTAGTGACTGTCTCATCATCACTGCTCCAGGCACAGATGCCAGTAACCACAGGGCTGGTGCCCTACATGGCAGGCATGCTACAGTGCAGGGAGCAACCAGTTGTTAGTAGCTTATGCATTGCTAAGGTACAGGCCCTCTGGGCAGACACTAATTCTACACTTAGCACCTAGTGCTTGATACTTACTATTCAAAGAGACCAGCATCATTGCTGACATTTCTTATAGCTGGTTTAAAAAAAAAAAAAAAAAAACCTCAAACCACCAACCTCTCCCCAACCCCCAACCTTCTGGGTTTGGTTTAGGACAGTTCTGTCTTTCATCCCGCTCCTGCCCCTATTCCCCTGAACAGGAAAGCATTACCTCTAAGAAGTAAATAAAGCTGCAGAGCAACCTGGAAAGACTGAGTTGAACACCATGGACAGTGTGGAAGATGTTCAGTGTTTTCCCTGGTCAGCCTCATCCCAGAGACCAGCGTGGGAAGGTTCCTGTTCACTCAACGTCATGGAATCTTTGGTCCCTCCCCTATGTGCCTCCTTCCTCTGTCTCCCAGCACACGTCTACTAAGTTGATATTGATGGACCTCCGATGTAATACCCATGGGCTTGTTTGAATTCTTTACAATCAGGTTCTGCCAATCTTAGAATTGGATTAAACAGGGCTTCTTGTGCCAGTTCGGCGACTGCTCCTTGCTGTAAGAAGAACTTTCTGTGAACAGAGAGTGTCCAAGTAGTGGCAGCTGCTCTCTGTTCTGGGCACTAGGTGAAACGGGAGCAACTCAGCCCATCTGGACTGTCTCTTCTGTCGGAAGCATGGAAATATTCTTCTTAGGCAGGTGCTGCCTGCTGGTGTCAGAACACTGCATGTACTGGCAGGTGATGAGGACATAGCACCCCACATAGTCCTGGGGAGAAGCAGTATGTGGTCAGAGCTAGAAGCTTGGACAACTTGGATCTTTTCCTGGTTTTACTTGCCTTCTCCAGGTTGCAATCACTCACCCTGTCTACACTTGTGTGTTTTCAATGTAAAGGGGGTCAGGAGGATTTGTTAGAGGAGCATCTGTAATGCCTGCTCTCTGGCAGGTGTTGATCTAAAACTTGCAACCAGCTTTGGCATTTGAAGCAGGTTTGTTGGCAGGAGACTGACTAGCAGCAGCAGGGATAGAGCATCATGCCTGTCTCACTTAGATTCTGCCCCAAGGACTCACAATCTGTTTTCCCCGCAGCACCAAGTGCCCTGTCACTGCTCAGGTAACACAGGCTGCCAGCACCACTGCACAGCCTTGGTCCCTGGTGCAGACCTCTCTGCTGAGGCCAGGGAGTCTGGGCACCCAGTTCAGGAGGGTGAGTAGCTTCCCAGACAGCAGGATTATTTGGAGGACACAAGGCTGAGTCCTTCCTAAGCAGGCAACTAGAAAACCTACTTAACTTCTGAGATCAGAGCCTACAGCATCCAGTATTGCCAGGCAGTCTCCCATCCAAGTACTAACTAGGCTCGGCCATGCTTAGCTTACAAGATCAGGCAAGATCAGACAAGATCAGGTGTGGTATGGCATACACTCAGTAGCATCTTCCAGATTTTGCACATTGAGGAGACCCCAGCAGTTTGAAGGCTTACTTTTATTTTTATCATCATAGTGACTTTGCTTTTTAAATTACTAGGATTTTGCCAGGGAAGACTTGGAAGTGGCAGAATACTGCTCTGCTGTGGGTTAGGATGTGCTCACCTAAAAGCTTTTGCCCTGTTTGCATTTTACTTGCTACACACACATTTCCTTGTGTCATACCTTCTTTGTGCCTCCTCATGGTGCAGCTTCACCTGCAGAACCTCTGTGTATCCTGTGGCAGGAACCAGTTGTCAGATGTGGGCCCCCAACGTGGGATGTAACCTTGGGTGAGGCAGTGCTGGGATTCAGAGCTGTCATAGCCAGTGCTCTGAATGCCTCACTCTTGAAGCGGGGAATCTGGGCAGTGGTGCATGGCATCCACCTCTGCAGTGGTTCTCAGTGTGTCCCTGGCCAGTGGCACCAGCAGCACCTGAGAAATAAAATTCTTAAGCCCCACTCCAGAACTGCTGCACAGAAACTGAGGCAGTAACCGGTGTTCTAACAAACTCTCTAGGAGATTCTGATAAAACCACTGCATTATAATGACAGACCTATTTTTAACTTCCTTCTCTACCATGGACCCCAGGTCCTTACACATGCTAGGCAAGCACCCTATCACTGAGCTACACTCCAGCCCCTAAAATTTTCTAACTCTGCATCCTTCTGCTCCAGCTTCCTGACTGCTAGGATTACAGGCAAGTACTACCATGCCTGGCTTTACATTGTTTTAAAGTGTTAAATATATACATGTCATATGACACAGCCTTTACTTCTAGGTATTTAACCAAGAAAAGGGAAGGTGTTTGTCTACACAAAGGTCCATACATGAACATTTATCAGCTTTACCTGTAATAATCTTAAACTAGAAACAATGCAGTGTCCATCACTGGTATATTTACACAGCAATAAAAAAGAATGAACTGTTGGTATATCCAACATCATGGATGAATGTCAAACTATGCCAAGTTAAAGAACCCAAACTCACCACCCTCAAAACTGTAGGATTCCATTTATATAAATGCCAGAAAACACAAACTAGAATGACAAAAACAAACAAATAAACAGATCAGTAATTGCTTGGGAATGGGAGTAGACAGCAAGAAAGGAAGGATGGATTGGGGGAGTTGATGTCTTATTCTGAGGTCATGGTGTCTTGAAGTAAACACTTGACCTAGTTATGTATCCATTTCTATGTCCTTTACACTTCAACAAAGCTGTAACAAAATGAACATTTAAGTGTGATACTTACCTAGGAAAGGCAGAGGACCAGCTGGGAGAGGAACATATGTTCATGGTGCTTGTCATAGTCTTACATAAATGAGTAAGAGGGCCAACATGGAGAAGAAAATGAAACTTTGAATTGCTTTCCTGAACACCAGCACTATCTAGTTGGCACTGGTGGCTCCAGCCCTGCTACCTATGAAGTTGACCTCAATGCCATTTCTCCTGGCCTCACCTGCACCACTTCCGTACACACTCCTCTACTGTGTTAGTCAGTGGCCCAGTTCCTCAAGCTCCTAGGTTGACCGAGGGTGCCAGGAGAGCCTGGCTTGATTTTGTATCTTACAGGTCCAGTGACCATTCTTCAGTGCTTTACATCTCATTGATATGTGTGGTCTCTGAGTCACCTTTCAAAGTTTTGACTTTTTGTTATTGCCAAAAGTGTACTTAATGTTTGTGCACCATGGGTTATGTGCCATTAACAAAAAATAAGCCTTTTAGGTTATTTCTTAGTGGCGCATCAGAAATATTTAGTAGACCCCCTGTTTTCTAGATTTATTCCAGTCAAGCTTGATTTAGCAGTAAAAACTCAGGAGGAATCCTTCTGAGCTTCCTTGACTGACCATGTCCTTGCCTCCTTTTCTTCCTGCAGATCTGATTTTTATCCACTGTAGCCAGTGCTGTTCACCTAGGACTTCCTGGATCCCAGGGTTCCAGTGTTTACAAGTGAGTAGTGGCAGCACTGCCTCCAACCTGGGGATGTTCTTAGCTGACTGTAAATCACTTTAGGCTTCTCTGTGGTACCATCTATGCATAGTGGCACAGATTACAAAGCATTGTGATTTTACAGTGAAATGGGTAAGAAACCAATAATTACTTTTTTTTTTTTTTTTTTTTGCTTATTTTGTGTTTTGTGTAGCCCAGGCTGTCTATACCTTCACTCCTCCTGCCTCTAGCTCCCAAGTGCTGGGATTATTGTCATGCACCACCATGCCTACCTTGTTTCCTTTTTGGGGTTCTATCTATCTATACACACACATTTTGTATTAAAAATACAGATTTCAGATATTGAACTAAATTTTAATTCCAAGATGTATTTGAATCCAGTGAAATTCGTTTGGGGGCTTAGAATTAGCATTTAGCCATACCCAGATTATGAATGAACTTTTAAGTTAGAGCACTTGCCTAGCATGCATAAAGTCCTGAATTTAATCCCCAGCACCACCAAAAAGACCATGATCTTTTTGGTGATCTGGGAGTACCTCCATGGAAATGTTACAGAACATTACCCAAATTCAATTGAACTTCCAGTGTTCACATTACAAGTATGATAAGAGGCATTTTTAAGTAATAAAGGGCTAAAATGACTTGAATTTTCTGCAGCTGATCCAAGCCAGTTTCTTTTTAGACTATAAAGATAGTTTATTAAGGGTACTACCTTATGTGAGATCATTTTTATATCTTTGTAATAAGGTCTCTGTGTCTAGAATTAGGTTTATGAAAATATACCCGTTGTAGCTAAAGGAGTAGAAGTATGTAAGGACATGGCTATATGGAGAGCAAATTTCTGGTTCCTGGGCCGGAGGACAGCTGTAGCTCAGTGGTAGAGCACTTGCCTAGCACATGTGATGTCCTGGGTTCCATTCCTAGCACCGCAAGACAGACAAAAACAAAACCCTCAAAACCGGATTCCTTCCTAATCAGCAGGGAACAGCCCTCCTTTCAGTAAGAGTGGGATCCTGCAAGGTTGTTCTTTAGCACAATCTTGAGCATGCTTCTGCCTTTACATTTTCTAAAAACAGGATGACTATTTCCACTTAGGTTTTTTTTTTTTTAAAAACAATTATCAGAGAGTTGAGTTTTCTATGGATTTTACATACTGCATCTTCGGCTACTTTCCTTAACTGTTAATCAATAGAAAATGATTTGTCTACGTCCTTGAAAGAATGTACTGTTACAGAAAACAACTGTGGCTAATCCTTTCCCTTTCTTGGTTCCCAAACACTGCAGAGATTGTAGTAAATCAGTAGTCTTTAAAGTACTGACAGATACCTGTATGTTGCAGGAAGGAGACTGCGACTTTGGATTCCCTGGTGGAGGACGACAAGACTGGTTTTGCCCCGACGATGCAAGTGTGATTGCTGGCATCTTCATGAGCGCCAGAGGCCACAGCACGCTGCCACGGACTCTCATGGCTCCTCGGATGATTTCCGAGGGAGACACAGGAGGCATTGCTCAAATTACCTCCTCTCTTTTCCTGGGCAGAGGCAGTGTGGCCTCCAACCGGCACCTCCTCCAAGCCCGTGGCATCACCTGCATCGTTAATGCTACTATTGAGATCCCCAATTTCAACTGGCCCCAATTTGAATATGTTAAAGTGCCTCTGGCTGACATCCCTCATGCCCCCATTAGACTGTACTTTGACACGGTGGCTGACAAGATCCACAGTGTGAGCAGGAAGCATGGGGCTACGTTGGTGCACTGTGCTGCAGGGGTGAGCCGCTCGGCCACTCTCTGCATTGCTTACCTGATGAAATTTCACAACGTGTGCCTACTGGAGGCGTATAACTGGGTGAAAGCCCGGAGGCCTGTCATCAGGCCCAATGTGGGCTTCTGGAGGCAGCTGATAGACTACGAGTGCCAGCTCTTTGGGAAGTCAACAGTTAAGATGGTACAGACACCTTATGGCATAGTTCCAGACGTTTATGAGAAAGAGTCCCGACACCTGATGCCTTACTGGGGGATTTAATGCCACTAAAACCTGCATCAGCAGCCCCTGAGCAGTACCAGCATCTGCCACACACCGTCTGCTCCCCTCTTCATCTTTCTTTTCAAGTGGTTGACTCTTGGTTCTCCCTCAAGTGATTTTACACTGGGTGTTCAAATTTATTTTAAGAGACAGGGAGGGGACATAAGGGGAACACATACATTGCTAGTAACATTTTAAAAACTAGCATTTTGAAAAAATCTCTAACTGGCTTTTAATCATTTTTAACAATCTGAGCAGTTTAATAAACTGCTCTATTCTGACTCCCATGCCTTTTGGCACCATGGCAGGTACAGGAGGAACTGAGTGCAAACATCACTCTGCGCTCTCATTAACCTTTAGAGACAAGCTTTGCCCAAGGCTGCAACCCAAACAGACACCTATGGAAAACTGATACGAGCTCAGTCTCTACTGGATTAGCCCTACTCTTTCCTTTTCTCTCTATAGTTTAGTGACTCTGTAAGTTAAATAAACCTTTATTATTTAGTTAAGTAACTATAAAGAAATCTGCTGCAAAGACTCTTGAAATCAATGTGCCCCAGGATTACATTAGCATTATTTTTAATAAATATATCTGCTTAACATAATACTTTTACTAACAGTGAATTTCCCAGTGTGTATGTGCATGTGTGTTGACAATGGAAGAAATCACTGCTAAACCGTGGCTTGTAGGACAATTATGAACACTATTTAAAATAGACATTCCAGCTGAATCATGTCAGTGTTTCACATCCTTGCTGATGGGCAGACATTAATATCATTCATACAGTGGAAAACAGTATAGAGTGTATGCTCTGACAAAAGGTACTGTTTTCAGTTTTCTCTCGGTAAGTACAGCGCACCAAAGTATTGAGTCTTCCATCAAAGAAATCCACTTTTAGCAAAAGGTGTGCCTCTGCTTACTATTAACAGATAGAAATCCTCTTACACCAAAGCGCAGTACAAGTGATAAGCAAATAACAGTGGTTTCCTTTGTTTAATTTTGGAAATGTCACCCAGTTCTTTGTTCCCAATAAGTCTGCCAGTACAAACTCATCAGGGATGTGGCAGAAGTTTAATGAGCTCTTCTCTGTTCACTCTTGGGAAACTACTGGTGTTAACCAGGTGGCCCCTTACTTGAGAGAGGAAAGCTACCTGACATTTGTAGTAGACAGAACCACTGTCACAGTACTGCTTTATTTTACTTCATTTGCCACCTTCTTGGTCTATTTTGGGAAGAAGCTACAAATATGGTAATACCTACACAGCTAAATTTTATCTTCTAGATTTTACCTGGTCTGTGGCAATGATTCTACCTTTTATAAATTCTAAAATTGTATCTTTTCTTGTCTTCTACCATTTGTCCCCTTCTACCATTTGGAAACATGCATAGTTATTTTCTAAACAGGGAAATTAAAAATAGTTTTTATGAGGAATCAGGCACACAAAAATACATTAGCACATGATCAAAAAACTATAAAACCAAAACAATCCAGGGAGACTATGGCTTTTTTAGTATGAAGCCAAGTTTTAGATCCAATAGTCTCTGAATAAGAGCCCAAAAATAACCATTCTACTCTAGGAAGAAAACACCTGGTGACAAACATTCTTGATAATTAAGGAAAAATTTCCTGTAAAAATTCTGGCAAACACTACTACTGGGATGTAACTTAAGTGTTCTTGGCACTTGGGAAGCCTGACACCTTTCCAAGTGCTCTGGCCCTTGTTCATCCTTGTGGCTTGCAATATGTGAAATTGCAGACCAAAAAGAAAAGAGCAAAAGTCTAGTAGCATGCCATTCTTCTGTAACAAGTGGTTACTTCAGAACAAACCCTGAAAATATTTCACAAGTCAAAGTTTGTAATGTCTAAACAAGGCAATTAGGGCAACTGTTGATTAAAATGTAACCAAAGGAAAAAAGTCACACTGTCCTTTAACAATACAGGGCCAAATTCCACATCACACACAGGTTAATAGAGCCAAAGCTACAAAATAATGAGATGCCACACGTGAATTTTTTTAACCACTTGCACTGTATTCATAGCATATAAAGAATGAAAGATTTTGTTACACTGATATTTTCTTAGAAAGGTAATTGTAAAGTGGCATTTTCACCCCAGAGTTGTTTCACTTAAGTTTTATTTCCTCAGCTTGACTTTGGAAGGAGAGGACTTTTCAATATTATTTGGTGCACACTTTTCCAAAGAAATACTACCCAACCTAGACATAAAAACACAGGCCAGGGATAGATGTGGCTCAAGTGATAGAGCACTGCCTCGAAAGCGTGAGGCTCCAAATTCAAACTCCAGTACTGCCAAAAAAAAAAAAAAAAAAACCACCAAAAACAAAAACCAAAAAACTCACATATAGGCTAAACACATCTTGTCCTACATTCTGACACTTGTTAGAATGGTCTATAGCAGGCTAAAATGCTCCCTTCTGAATGGCAAATGTCCTTGAAAACATCAAGAGTTTATTAGCTGTACACAAAAGTAAGGTGTTTTGAGTCAGAATGTGTTAAAGAGAATTTTCACAGTGGTCCCCAAAACAGCAAGCATTTCAAATTTCTATAACATAGCCCCTACAATCTTCAAGAACGCACTAATAAAATAGGAACATAGAAAATGTCTATAAATGAATAAGACAACTCCAAACACCCAAAATATGTACACAAAATATTAAAAGTTTCAGAGCTGGCAGAGTGGCTCAAGCAGTTAAGAATGCCTGCCTAGCAAGCATGAGACCCAGAGTTCAAACCCCAGTGCTGCAAAAAAAAAAAAAAAAAAAGTCAAACTGTTATTAAAATATGAACAATAAAAAAGAACTTAAAATATGCAACCCATATGGAATGTTAGCTAGTAGACATGGGAAAAATAAAGCATAGACAGAAGAGGAATACCTTGTACCGCTTCTGTCTCAAGCGTGTCCAGACAAAAAACTGAATTTATACACTAACCCATAGCAATGGGGTGAAGCTGCCTGACACAATACACAGTATGGAAATAAGTATCCTTGGTTACTGTTTCCAAGGACACTGGGCTCTTTGGCTAACAAGAGCTGAAGTAAAGCTGAATGCAATGTTGAGTCATTTTAATAAGCATGGATAAAACCAGCCCAATGGTATGCTACACTCCCCAAATCCTTATTGGTAGTATCTAATTAAACATTTCAAGTATCAAACATATTCACAGTAGTGAATACTTTTCATAGCAAAGGCTTTTTTGTTGACATCTACTGAGTTTTCCTCTGATGCCTCCCAAGCAGTGACTAAACCTATCACTTGGTAAGGACAGCTATAATTATACTTAGGAATTTTATCTGAGGCATTCTAGAATAAATCTAGGAATGGAAACCAATCTAGGAAACACTTTTTAAAATGTCATTGATACAGTCTACAATGATAGAATAGTCCATATTGCATATTCATGAAATGCCTCAGCAATATAAATCTTGTCAAATTGGGAAATAGTTTTACTAAGGTAGATTCCATTATCCAGTTCTATTAGGGAATTTACAAGACCAACCAGATGCCTGCTTATTATTCTAGTGCCATGGTGAAACACCAGTGCTGTCCAGCATGAAGCAGAGCACAGGTGCCTCAGAAGAGCCTGCAAAAAACCAGCCCCCGAGTGGTTACACTCCACTAGCCCTGAGAAGGGAAAAGCCTCTCACTGACAGTTCAGACAGCTGTCTCAGTCATTAATAGCTAGAGATGATGTCATCTAGAGCAAGTGAGAAAAACAGATGTATCTCATCAACGCTTCTCTGTATGTTCTGGAGTACAGCAAGGCAAAGCAGAGGCCACATCAACAGCTGTGTGAAATAATCTATACCTTTCTTGGAGAAAATGCAAAAGGTGTAAAATGGAACAGCACAGAATTCCCTGAAGTTTTATCCTGGAAGGGGAAAACAATTATGTAAAAGCAGCAGTTATATAGACAAAAGCAAATAAAAACTAAGTATATGTCAGAAAGCCTTATCATACAAAGTGAAGCAAACAAGACTGAAAATCCCTTCATGAAGCACATAATCAGAAATTCAAAGAAAACAGGTGTCATAGATTGGTTGTTCTTCCTAGGAATAACACAGGCCTTAACTACTTGGCTTTTGTTCTTCTTATTTTATGTATTTAGTTTAAATGGCAAAGAAAATTCTTACACTAGAAAGCATGACTCTCTTCCTTTTAAAATTCAGTGCTGTTGCTGAACAATTTCCCCTCATGTTTCTGCAGCATGTACCTCCCCCATAAATATGCATACACCTTAGTATTCAGCTCACTAGGCCAGGAGTTCCACCTTCTCAAGCTGTGTTCATTTTCACGTCTCTCTCACAGATACAAGTCCAGCAATGCTGGTCCTATACAATCTTCGTTGAAAACGTGGGGAGAAGCCACAGCAAACAGACTTCATTCCACAGCCTGTCCAGATCTTGTCTGGAAAAAGACCATGCTTTGTACCAGTCTTTTGCGTGTTGCACAACAGGTTTCCAGTGAAAGGAGAAGGAGAAGGATATTTATCTCGACATAACAAGATTTGGGCCTCTGTCAAAATAGATGTTCTTCTCCAAGGACCAGACATGGTTTGGAAAGAGTCTTCTTTAAGAGCTGACAGTTTCAGAAATGAAAGAAAGGAGTAGAGAAGAAATTCAGCTATGAAAATAGATGGTAAATGTGCCCTCAATGTCTACCATTGTCTGGTAGAGTTGAGCAGTATTTTTTTCTTTAACAAGACAGAGAATCATTTCATCACAATTTCTTCCTTTTATTCATTCCAGACATTTACGAACTAAATGCAGAGAGATAAATTCTACTTTACAGGACCTACCTTACAGTTCTAGACATAAGTAAGCACTGACTGGAAACAGTTTTGCCAATTCCAGCCCTACAACAACAATTTATTTTTCTTCAAATGCCAGTTCTTCACAGTTTCAATACTGCAGCAGCAAACTGCTCCTTAAAGAAAACTGTGGTCCCATTTTTTTTTTTTTGTAGTACTGGGGTTTGAACTCAGAGCTTCACGCTTGCTAGGCAGGTGCTCTACCCTTGAGCCACTCCTCCAGCCCTTGTGGTCCTCATTTTAATTATCTTAAGAAAACTAGAGCTGAGCAAGTCCAAAAAAAAAAAAAAAAAGAAAAAGAAAAAGAATTAGAAGTAAGTGACAAACTTCTGATGCCACATGCAGTATGGGGACAGTAATTTTTACCTCAAACCCTGAAGACAGGCAGTGGGAATCAGAGACCAAAGATTGTCTGTAGGAATGACTAGGAACCTCCACTGTGTTTTCTGACCTACCTTTTCTTGGGGAATTCTTCTCACAGATTCATGGAAGTGAACTTTGCAATATTTGCATTCTGTTTATTGGTCCCCAAGGGGTATGACAGAAAAACAAACAAACAAACAAACAAAACCAACCAACCAAACAGCTGGTGCTTTATAGAGGAGCTTTTCAGAGCAAATCAGGCAGGATGAGACCAGGAGGCTTTGGTTCAACACAGTTGATCCAGAAGTTGGCACAGCTGGCATGATACTGGTGTCCTCCATAGGCCAGCTTGAAACTGTCTGTATCTGAGTTGAACGCCTGCCAAAAATAGACAAAGATATGGGATAAGTCAGGCTTTTTCTGCATCTAAGAGTTTGTCAGCAACCAACATATACACTTCTCCAGGTATCACAGAGGCTGAGGCCAGAATGGCACAGACACACAGAAGCTGAGCAGGTAGCTACAGGAATTCAAGTGAGAAATTTTTTTTTTTTTTTTTAACTGCTAATTAAATCATTACCACTCAATCTAGTTTCAGCAGGAGGAGGCCAAATATTTCATGGAAAAGGCAGGGGAGGTTATGGGGAGGGGAGGAGAGATCATGATATGGGGAACTAAAACAGTCAAGGGCTATGGAGAATTTATCCCTCACTGTTCTGAAGGGTTCCCTCCCTTGAAGACTGACATTTGCCCCTAACATATGGTTCCTTAAATTTCTGTGGCTGATCACCATCCTATCATAACAGAAAAATTATAAAAAAGTTAAGAAATAACTGATAACAATTCTTCGGGTTTAATGCCATTGGGAGCTGACAACTGAATCACTTGCAGTTTCAGTTACCCATAGTTAATTGGGTAATGTCCTGTAATTAGTTTTCTAAAACACTACAGGTAGAAAAAAACCACTAAACTCCAAAGGACTTTGTTATCAGCTAAATCCTGAGGCTCTCTGATCTTATTCTGTGTATCACTACACTTCCAGTCTTCCAGAAGTTGCTCATTCTGTTACTTTGTTCATTGCAGAGAACAATAAGTACAACACCAGAAGCCATTTATGAGATACAAACATGCAAACAAGACAGCAGTGGCTCCACACAAACATGTTAGTTGATCCAATCAAACATTATGGGGACAAAGATGAGTCAGTAGAGGATTCATGATTGGAAAGGTCCAGGATGGCAACAGAATCATCCGTTTGCCTTCCACACTCAAAATTAAGATGGAGACGCTAAGATAATGTGTAACTGCTTCATACTTTTTTAGGATGTTCTTCAGCAGGCTTCTCTTCTTTCTGAAATAACGTTGAAACCACAGGTCAAAAAAAAAAATCCCCTGGACAGGGCCTGTAGGCTCCAAATAAATTCTCATAGGTGTAACCTTTTGTTTCCCACCCTCGTGCCAGTGTGCTGCAGGCACAACACAAAACGCATGCTCACTAGGAAAGGAAGGTTCATGCCCCATCCCTCAGCAGCTCCCTCGTTGCCCCTCGGAAAGAATGGACCTGCTTCCACAGCATCATTCTGGGCTTTTTAAAATTCTCACCTGTGGCCCCAAACCTTGCAGTGAAGTGGACTACATGAGGTTGTCCCCCAAGTCATGTTAAGGATGCACTTTGCCATCTGCAGGGGTAAGGACTGTGACTTACCCGGCTCCTGGAGTCCACATTTAAGAGGCACACCCCACATGCAAGTTCCTGGGCATTTTTAATCCCAGGCCGCAGCATACAGGAGGAAAAATCCAACGAATTTTCATCTGGCTGTAAGGATGAGAAGGCATGTTGGTAAAGGCCCAGCAATTTCAAATGCTGTTTGTTTCATTCCAAGATCATTTCTTTCCAGTAGGTCTGGTAGCAAATTAATTCTCTAATATCACCAACACAGTAACTTAATTTTGCAAACATCTACCATGTGCCTGCTATGTGCCAGGTCCTAGGGATACCAATAGAAGCACAACATGCTCCCTGTTGCTGGGATCACAGGGTCTAGGCTTGGACCAGGTAGTGCCAGGCAATACAGCACCACGAGTGCCATGAATTCTTACTTAGGGGTAAGCACTGAGTTACTAGGGCATCCAAGCTAAGGGCAAAGTCAAAGGCGGCTTCCTGGAACTCAGAATCACCTTGGCTGAGAAGTGGTGGGAAGATGCAAGGTGAAGATGATGGGGTAGGGTAAGGTAGGGGAGAGAAAGATATTTAATGTACAACAAGCTACAGAAGGCAAAGGCCTCTAACCAAAAGTCCGGATATGGGAAGAAATCTAGAAGGTGTGAGCCAGGCTTATGAGAGGAGGGAGATGAGGCTAGAACACAAAGGATCTTGAAAGGAATGGACAGAGTTTAGAAGGACCAGGTTTGTACCACATAAAGATCCTTCTCCATGCAGTATAGCAATGAATTGGGGGAGGCAATCCTGAAGGTATGGCTTTAAGTTAGAAGGTTGTTGTAACAATCTTGCAGACATTCTGAAAGTCAGAAATAGTGTGGCAATAGTAGAGGAGGGAGAGAAAACACATGGAAGAGCTATTAAATTGGCAGAATCAATAGGCTTGGAGGATCTGTCAGGTGTGAGAGGAGGGAAGGCTTGGACAACTGACAAGATTCACAGTAATAAGGCCCATGAGAGAGCTGGGACTGGGGAGGAAGGGTGGAAAGAAAAGTCCAGTTTAGTACAAGCTGACCCATAAATGCTGTGGGACAGTTGAGGCCAGACGTTCAGAATGCAGGTGGTTGGGTGCTAGATTTGAAAGTCAGCAGCTAGAGACAGTAAATATAACAGCTGATAATCAAGCCTTACTCATGCTAAGCTAGGTTCACCTCTTTATGGCCATTATCTAATTGATTCCTTACCAAAACTATGAAATATGGAGAGTATAGGACAAAGATGAAAATGGTAGGCCTCAATTTTGTAAAGCTGTTACTCTTAAAAGTTAAATATACATCTCCTATGTAAGCTTGCAATTTTGCTCCTAATTTATCCAAGAGAAATGAAAAATACATGTCAACAAGCCTTGTTCAATTAAAGTATTCATAGTAGTTGTATCCTATTAGCCCAAACTAGAACTATCACAAATGTCTATTAATAAGAAAATATATGAGCAAACCATGACGTATTAATACAACAGACAATTAATACAACTCAACAATAAAAAGGATTAAACTGATAAAACACCATGGATGAATTTTTTTGTCTTTTTTTAGTGGTAACTGCAGTTTGAACTTAGGGTTTCATGCTTGCTAGGCAGGAGCTCTACCACTTGAACCATGCCTTCAGCCCAACCATGGATGAATTTTTAAAACATCATGTAAGTAAAAGAAGCCAGACGCAAGAATGCATACATTTAACATCATTTCATTTATATAAAGTACTAGGACAGAGCTGGGCACCAGTGGCTCATGACTGTAATCCTAGCTACTTGGGAGGCTGAGAAACGGGAGGATTGCAGTTAAAGGCCAGCCAGGGCAAACAGTTCATGAGACCACATCTCCAAAATAACCAGAGCAAAAATGGACTGGAGGTGTGCTTCAGGGATAGAATGCTTGTTTTGTAAGCAGAAAGTCCTGAGTTCAAGTCCCAGGCCAACCAAAAAAAAGTGCAAGAACAAACCTCAATGAAAATCTTCCATAGGATTGATGGAGTGTGGGTTACATTGCTGTATGCATTTGTGAAAACTGAGCCAAATACATTCAAGATCTGTACATTTCATTGTATGGAAGTCAAGTTATTCTTCAGTGTAAAAAACTTGAATAGCAATAACACACACACAAAAGAGAAAATGATTCAAGGGAGTTGAAATCTTGGGGCTGAGGATGTAGCTCAGAGGTAGAAACCCTGAGTTCGATCCTCAGCACGGCAAAAAGAAAAAAAGTCAGATTCCTTTTTTTTTTTTTTTTTTTGGTAGTACTGGGAGGGTTGAACCCAGAGCTGTGTGCTTATTGAGCTATGTGCCCCAGACCTCAAGAATTAAGATTGTCTTTCTATAGTGAAAGTGATAGCAAGTTTATTAGGCGAGAAATAAACTTTCAATAGACTGAAGTGGGTTCTCTCTAGAGTAAGAACAAATGACCAAGAGTTGGACTCTTAATGTGAAGAACTTTTAAAAGTACTTAAAGCAATTTATTTTCTCATTGATATTTTTGGCTGGATAATTCTTTGTTGTGGGGACCACGTATGGCAGTGTAGGATAATTGGCACCTCTGGCCTCTTAGGGAGGAAAATTGCACCCTGCCCCATCACTGAAAACTGATCTTCCAAAAGAGAAAAAATATATGTGTACACACACACAGAGGAAATTACAAACTTAACTAATATAAAGGATGCAACACACACAATTTCAAAATAAAATATATAATCTTTATTATAAATTCTATATACTCAATTGATTATCACAGAATGTTTTCTTTGGTTTTTGCCCATCTCCTGGATTCATAGTCAACCTTTGGCTCCTTTTATAAATAAGTATAGTTCTAACAAGAATGTCCATTGATGTTTTCATGTTAAAGACTAAGACTAAAGTAAAACAACATTATTTCAGAACTTCACAGGTCTGTCAAAGACTGGAACACTTTCTTTGCTGAATATTGGGGAATATTTCCTTATCTTTTGCACTATTCAGAATACAATGGCTGTAGGCATGGCACACACTTAAGTTTAATCTGTGTTATTAATATTTTCTCCATCTCTTTCTTAAATCTATACAATCAGTAAAACAATAAATGAAGCCCTGATTTGAAGCATTTGCTGATTTCCATGACAGAAATACTCCCATCATGGCTGATTTCAAGCTTCTAATGCAGTATCACTAAAGGCGGAGTGGAGAGACAAGAAAAGCAGAATCATTATCTAGTACTTGCACCATATTGACACAATATTCTAGGGCAACCAACTATCTGGTTTGTCCAAGACTGTTCTGGTTTTAGTACTGAAGAACTTCCCTAGTCCTGAGCATCAAGGATACTTTGACATAAAGAACCCCCAAAAGCTATATAGTAACAACAAATATAATTTTAAAAACTAGAAACTATTACCTCTGTTTTTAACACAATTTTAACTGCAATTTTTAAAATAATGGCTGTGTATAACAATTAGCTTACAAAATTCTTGAAAATTTAACAATAAGCCCTTGTAAGCCAAGAAAGACTGGATCCAACACACTACTGTGATTGAAGGAAATTTTAGGTGGGGACCTGGAAGTTGAGGAGTTCCTCTTAGAGGGCCTATCTTCTCTCCCTATAGCAGGTGATGTGATTATCAGGTGTGCAGGGAAGCAAGCTGTGTTGGTGTGATTCTCACCACCGTCCAGGTGGGCCTGAAGAAGGCGGGTGGTTGCATGGATCAGGTTGAGTTTTATCTAGTGGGTATGACTGAAGGGCATGGGTAGCATTGTCATGCACCACAGGGATTAAGCAGGTGGGAAAGGCAGTGAAGATAGAAAGGGTTTGACAAGAACAGAAGAAATGGGTCAAATAAGCATCCTGTCATAAGAACCTAAAACAACGGCAGTACAAGTAAAGCATGAGAAAATTGGAGGGTTACCAGTTTGGCTGGGTTCAACAGGTAAGCTGTCTGGGTTTAAAATTGCCCAAGGCACTGCAGTGGGCTGTGGTAACAGTCTATGGTGATCTGGTAAGTACAATGCTAAAGTGAAGTGGAAACATGGGCCCTGAAGTCAGGTGGTCAAGGATCTGGGAAGCTGGCATGGTGGTTGTTTTGTCCTCATAGATACTGAGGTGACCCAGGATGATGGTAAATTCCTGCCAAAGTAATGGCTACATTTTCTATGGTTACTCTAAAAGGATAAGCAAAGTGTTTTCAAGCAATAAAGCAAAACTGTATTATGTATTTGTATTTCGCTTCCCAAGGTGAGGGAAGGTTTCTCCTTAAAAATTGTGTGGATTACATAGGATGTTTCTTCATCCCTTTCTAATTTGAAATAATGAGTTATAAATTAGCTCCACAAACCTTTCTTAAATAAACCTCAGCTAGTACAGGGGAGATACATGTGTGAAGTATGTGTTTCAACTGTGTGCAAGGGACAAAGATGATAGAGTTAAATATATGTGGCCTTCAGCAAGTCAGAGGAGTTTTTTCTCTTTTCTTTTTTAGTGTAATCATGGCTACTTTGGTCAAATGTAAAAGGGTAGCTGGTACTACCCCTTATTTATTTTATAGTTCTGTCATGTGCAAAATGGTAACGTCACTTGCCCTAACTTCCTCCCTCAGTTGTATTTGTACTCTCAGAGGAATGGAAAATATGCTCTGGAAAGGAAAGGATATTCTAAATGATTATGTCAATTATTCACTTTGAGAACTCTCACAAGCTGTTCAAAGAGGTTAAAAGACACACTATCACCTCTATATTATAGACATCATGTTACTCAGTCAGGACTATTTGAGAAATAATTAGAATCTGGAAAACTCTGAATCTTGAAATCAGTCAAATTAATAAAAACCCTTTAATATCTGTTTACTGAAGGCATAATGAAAGCAAAGGAAAAGGTCATACCCAAATCTCCAATGAAAACGATGAGACTCTGCATGAATTGTCTTGTGATCAAATTAATCTTTCAAACGATAAAATAACCTTCCTAAGTAGACATCTATAAGCAGGGGTTGCTGTGTACAGTAACAGTTTGATACCACTCATTAGCCACAACTGTATAGAAGTTATGCTTTCTAGAGGCCACTGTAAATTGGTCATCTACAATTTTATTTGGCAGGCATTTTATGTATCTAGTTAAGATTTTAAGAAATACTTACAT